AAAAAAAAGTGCAGACGTTAAAGAAATGTAAATGCGATGCAAATATCCAATTAGGCGAAGATAAACTCAAGCAATTTTATTTATTTCCTTCGAGTATTTTTCCTCAGTCCTTACATTTTTACTACAATAACGGATGATCAAAGGCAAAGTATGATAATACTTCATAAAAGTGAACATAATAGACTTAGAGCTATTGATAGATATTATACATAAAAACTTATTGTCTATTATTTACTGTCAAAATATAGTGTATTGACATTAAAATTCGAAAACATACATGGCAATAGTTATACGGATTCTTGTGACCTTATCGTTATATTTTACACTGTCTAAAGACTAACCAAAACATAAATCTAACAACGAAACCGCCCAGTGTCGAAAATACATATGCCTCTTGGGCTACGACCTTCGCGTGTTCACAATCGCAAAACTATTTCCACACAAGTAGTCAGATAATTATATGGTCTTTTAAGATTTAGAGGTATATATGTTATTCGTTTTAAAAAATATTTTTCATGGAAATTTTTTTTTTTTTTCATTATATATACACAAAAAAAATTTTGTTTAAGAAAGTATATTACTCGTTAGAAACGATAATTAAAATTTGTTTTTTTTTTCTTTAATATTTTTTACTTCAATTAAGTATTTAATTTTTTTCGATTCAAATTGTTTGTAACATTTCAAAGTCAAGTAAATTCTATACTTGACATCATTTATAAATATGGATATTCTACCAAATTTTTTTCTCTTTATGGTAATAAATATATATCATTTATGCTATTTTTCATAAGTATAATAAAAAAAATAAAATACATTAATTAACATATACTATGCGTAATGTTCAATGGTAAAAAATCTTACGGCATTTAATTATATTTAAAAATAAAAATAAAAAAATCCATATTTCTTCTACTTGACACATCTTTTAACGTTTAACGTGTCATTTTAATGTAAATGATTTGTTGTTATCATTAACTACTTTTTACAATATTAACATGTCTAAGTAGTATTGAATTTAACGATTAATTCTTAAGTCACTTTATTTAAGTTTTAATTGCTTTCTGATTTAACAAGATAATTTGATAAAGTAGATTAGCAAATGGGATTCAATAAAAAAATTTTTTACTAAAACACTTGTAAGAAGAAAAATAAAATTTCTTATTTTTTTAAAGTAAATTCTTATTTAATTGAAATCTTAAAATTTTATTTATCAAATGTTGGCAATTATTATTACTAAATTCAAATTTTTAATTTTCTTGAACCGATGAATTACTTGTATCATAATCGAGAAAATTTACTCTCGGCAGTATTAAAGAAAATAAAATTATTTTTCTCAGAATAATATGTTTTTTTCTCCCAGATTAAATATTAAAATTGGAAAAAATAATTAACATGGTTTTATCTTCAAATGAATAATGAATTATAAAAACAGCGGAAAACATTTAATAAAACCGGATTATATCTTGTTATTACAATGCACTGTGCAGTAAAACAAAGCGTGAGAAATAATAATTACACGGAGGAATAATCGCAGAAATAATAATTACAGCCATGCGGAAAACCCCATCCGGGGTTGAATGTCGTCGACGTCGCCGTTGTCGACGTTCCAAACAGGCTTTCGTGTGTCGCGAAGCGTTAAGTATCTCAACTCTAAAATTCTCACTTCCATCACGCAGATTCCAAAGTATTTTATTTTGGATAGTCAAGTATCTTTTGTATTTATGTGTACACATATTGAAATAAGACAAAAAATAATAAAAAGTTTGGAAAATCCAAAAGTGCACGCCTCATAACACTCATTCATTTTTTAAGAAAAAAATTAATTGTATAATTGATTAAAAAAAAAAAATTATAATTAAGCAATTTCTTACAGAGGATTTTTGTTTTTTTAAATATCGACGCCCTTTTTTCTTGTCATATGTGCACGCAGTCTAAAAAAATCTAGCTTAATTTTTATTGATTGGGAGGGATGTAATCATCTCGAACGAGACTCTAATATAATTACAATCGAACATCACTTACAGGTAAGTTCGTTTGATTTTCAATTATATTACGAGTCTCGTTCTTCGAGATTACATTGTAGATGTTCAGAGGTTCTATTAACAACTCCAAGTTTTTTTTTTTTTTAATTTTCTGTTTATTAAGTCTTACACAAACTTCATCACCCTAGCCCCTGTCTTCTCCTAGCACTGATGTGACAAACAGGCTTTTCTCCTCGTCTATGGGTCTCTTATAAAATTTCGCGAACACTTTTGATCGCTCCGACCACCCTGCCGTGCTCTTGATGATCGCTAGGTCGATTCCTCTCACTTCAGCTGAAGATGTTGCTGCGTGTCTGATGCTATGAGCAGTGAACTGCTCATTGACTCCTGCTGCCAATAAGCACTGTCTTATCCAGCGACTTATAGATTGCGAAGTTGCACGGTGAAAAGGATTTTTAAAAGTAATTAAGAGGTGATCCGTTTCACCCCTGATTTTTTTTGTTCTTTTTATATAGCTCACAAGAATGCTTGCAACGCAAGCAGTTTTTCTGTTAACAAGAAACGGTAGTGTAAAACAAGGCTGTGGAGACCCCACCCGCGACGTCTTGATCTGGTCCGTGATTTTAATTCTGATGCCAGTTTTGGTTATGACAATATTACTGATTTTAATCAATGATAAAGTTTGGACCCTTTGAGCTGTTGCCAGAGCCAGAAGACAAACTAGTTTAAATGTAAGCTCTTTTAAACTTAATGACTCAGTTGGTCCTAATTTTTCGGCCCACTCCAACAAAACGTCTGAATTCCAAGTATTGTCGTACTTCGGCTTAGTGGGTCTTATCTTATAGACGCCTTTAAAAAATCGACAAATGTCCGGATCTTTTCCCAAATCTACATTGCTTATTAGATTTATGGCCGATCGATCAGAATTAAGAGTGCCATATGAAGCTTTCTGATGAAAACGTACAGCCAGGTATTTTAGGACGTTCCTGATACTGACAGCCCAGGGGTCTATCTGTTCCTCCTGACAATATGTCCACCAATTTTTTAGGTTTGAATTATATTGGTTGATTGTAGACTTAGTTAAAGATGCGATGAGGATTTCAAAAGCTTCCTCTGGTAGTTGCTTTTTCCGGTATGTCTGCCAGATAACTTCCCTGCCACCAGGGAAAGGTGTTTGCTCAGAGGATGCTCCAGTGACCTACAGGGAGATAAAAGTAAGTTAGTTGATGGTAAGAATATTAGTGGTTCTTCAGTCAGCATTGCTGTAAATACAGGGAACCAAGGTTGTGTAGGCCAGTAGGGGACCACTACAATCCCTTCCGCTCTGTCTAGCCTGATTTTTCGAAGGACTCGCATTACCATCGAGAACGGTGGAAATGCGTAGAAAAAATAGTTTCCCCAATCCATTGTGAACGCGTCTATACAAAAAGCTTCCGGGTCTCTTTTCCAAGAGCAGAATTTTTGTATCTTCGCGTTGACACGCATTGCGAAGATATCAATCTCCAGATTATTCCACTTTTTCGCTATTTCCCCGAAGAAACTATCCCCGAGTTCCCATTCTGTATCAATGTTCGACCTTCTCGATTCCCTATCCGCGTCGGTATTTTCTTTTGACGGAATATACGACGCGAAAATCCAAAGATTTCTTTGCTCGCACCACTGCCAGATGGTTCTCGCTGGCCTGTTTAACTCTGGGTACTGAACGCCGCCTAGTCTATTAATGTACGCGATCGCCGTGGTATTATCGATTCTCAGCAATATTTCAGCATTTTTGTACTCCTGGGCAAAACATTTTAATCCAAAGAAAGCTGCAATTAACTCTAGATGATTGATGTGCAGCTTCCTCTCTGCTTCAGACCAAAACCCTTGCGCGTTTTGTCCATTACAGTGCGCTCCCCAACCTAAAAGAGACGCATCAGAGTATATTTCCGTAACAAACCGAAAGGATCGAATTGGACAGGAAGCTGTGGGTAACTTGTTTAACCACCAAGTCAATTCATCTTTAACTGAACTATTTAATATCATTGGCTGATCAAAATCCTGCTCGTTCATTATCAACGCTAGAAATTTTTCTCTTTCAAGGATCTTTGTATAAAGCATTCCGTACGATACCCCAGGACATGCCGCAACTAAAGTACCTAAAAGCCCCGCGAATTCTCTAATTTGGCAGTGATTTGCCCGCAGAAGTACCCGAATGGTCTCTGTCAGCTTGCTCTTTTTATCCACAGTTAAAGATAACGACATATTTGTTGAATTAATTATAAACCCTAGATACTTGCAGCATTTTTGAGGCTCAGTACGACTTTTTTCTTCGTTAATAATGAACCCTAGTCTGGTGAGAATGTACCTAGTAGTTTTAACATTTTTTAAACAGCCTTCCCGAGATTCATCAAGGCACAAAAAATCGTCTATGTGTGCTGTTGACGTTAGCCCCTTCTGTCTCAACCAGTGTAATACTGGTTTCGTCAGTTTTGTGAAAACATACGGGCACGTACAAAGCCTAAACGGGAGACAACAAAATTCATAAATTTGGCCCTTCCAACTAAATCGGAGAAATTTTCTGCTTGATTGTTTTACCGACACCAAGAAATATGCGTCTTTAAGGTCTAAAGTACACATAAAATAGTCTTTAAAAATTAATTTTACGGCCGATCTCAAGTCTTCGAGCTTGAAATGGGACGTTTTAATGGATTTATTTAGGGTTTTAAGATTTAAAAATAAATCTTTTTGATCCATTAGGTTTTGCTACGAGAAAGAAAGGCGACAGGAACTGACCCTCTACTGGCTTACATTTAACAATAGCTCCTTTTGATAACAATTTATCAATTTCTCTATGGATTAACATTTCGTCATCCACTGGAAATTTAACCTCTTTCGTCCAGCTCAATGTCTGTGGCAGAAGAGTAAGAAAAGGAATTTCGTATCCTCTGATACAGTCTAAAATAAAGCTATCAGTAGTAATGTTCATCCACTCCTGGATAAAATTACTGAGACGCCCTGCCACTGTTCTCACCTGTACTATTTCCTCTTGTCCTGAAGTGTTGACCGATTTGACTTCGCCTGGCTCGATGAATTGCTGTACATCGTCCTGCTGTTCTGGGGAGTTGCCCTGTGAAACTTCTGGTACGGAAGCTTCTGGCCCATATGCGGGTTCCCCTGACCCGTATATGGGCTGCGCCAGTTTAAAGTCCTCGACGACGTTGAGGGTTTTTGTACTGCCCCTCTAAATTTATTCCCAGAGGTAGTTGAAGATGGAATAGGTGCGTTCTTTATTTCTTTACCCAACTTCTCGATTGATTTTGCTGTCTTAATTTTTTCCGTCAACTTTTCCCCGTAAAGAAAAGTACCAGGCTTGGTTTTTTGCAGCAGCTCTTTCATTGTCTTAGTCAAACCTGGTGAAATAAAGGATTTCCTGGCAGATGAAATTTGATAGTGTGCTTGCGCCAGTAACTTTCCTGCATCTGCTAGCATTTCCACCAATGACAATCGATCTACCGGCTCCTTATTGTCATTTAAAACCATCGTGATAGATTAACCCAGTGCAGCCATCGCAGAACCGACTAAGTTCTGTTCTACAATAAACAGTTTGTCTCTTTTGACACCTGTTTCATTTAATGAGGCCAAAACTTCCTCGTTCAATTCTGGAGCCTCTAGATTAATATTTCCTTTGCGGGAATATTTATCTACTATAACCTCCTTTGTCTCTTTTTTCAGGCCCTCAGTCATCCATGTGGGCCACCTAGAGACCAGGCTTTGGTGTAAATCTAACAATTCTTTATTGTCTGCAGAAGGATTGTCTCCAAGGACAGTCTCGGTTTCCTCATCAAGCATGTTGACCACACTCTCGCCATCTTCAACTGTCGATGGCGGTATTATCTCTGCTGTCTTATCAACTGAGACCTCAGATGCCTTATCTTCGACCACTGGTCCCTCTCCAGAACCATCTGATTGCTGATCAGCAACCTTGTCGTCTTGGTCATTAGCCGGACTATTTTCATTGTTCTGTGCAGCTTTTTGCTGATTATCTGAAAATAATTTTTCTATAAAAGTTATGCACTAGTGATTTTTGTCGCCTACGTACAAAATTTACTAGCCAGAATGCACGTTCATGTCTCACTGTTCGAGTACATGACGCCAGCATACACAAATTTGTTCCTGTATACCTTTACGCATATACAGATCTGACAATTAACTGTGTAATATTAATTTTTTCATTGCTGTAATTTACATTACCTTTTTTAGAGAAAATTTTTTCTCTAGTCTCCTTTATAAATTCGCCAAGAATTTTTTCTAACCTACAAACACGTTTGTTGATATCTCTGTCTTCATCTCGATCCCCACTCCGCTCTCTACTTCGTTTTTTACTTTTTCCCATGTTAGAGAAATTTTTTACTCCTGATTGACAATTTAATCTGCTTCTTTTATTCCTTTTTTTTTTAATTAAAAGTGACGCTGTAAAAATATCTGCTTGCAACTTGTACTTGCACAAAAAACGTTATGAAGAGTGACGGCAGAGCGCGCGGTAGTCAGTACCGGGAAAATTTCAAATAATAAAATCTAAAATTTGTGGCTTGTACTAGTAGAACTGACGGTACTACAATGTAATCTCGAAGAACGAGACTCGTAATATAATCATCGACCTCGCTGACTATTGAGCGTCCGTGCCATATATTTTTAACCAAATGATACATTTCTGGCTCTTGAATAACATACAGGAGCGTTGAGACACACTTTTTACTGAGCTCATCCGCGCGTATGTCATTTAATAGATAGCTGTAAGGGTCGTAGTCTATTTTTTTGACGGTCTGTTGATAGAGCCACGTGCAACTGATGCATTTAGATAATTTTTTAGCTTCTAAGTCAACTGTTACTTTTTTTCGGGGCATTAATTTCATACAACTACGACACAGTAACTTGTTCTTGTCCTTGTCCACCGGCCCGACTAATTCCTCTTCGTCTTTACTCTTCGAGCAGCAATTATGAGAATGTCGGGCGAAGGATAAAAATCCAACTGAAAGTTCATTTTTATTTTATTAATTAGGAGTATCATTAGTTGGACGCCAAGGAGATGAATTTTAGTTTAATTTTACTGTCGCTGTTACACTGATAGAAGGATTTGTTTGTATTTAATAAATCAATTTATTAAAATCTTTTTCAGATATTTTTTTGGGTGGAAAAAATATTTTTTTATTATTAACAATATTCGTTAGTATTAACTAAATTAATTTTTTATGAGAACAAAATTTTTGTAACTATTAAGAATAAGCTTTTGTGTATTGAAAAAAGTATTTATTTCGACCAAATAAGATTTGTTAATAGTTAACAAATATTTTGTTGGTGGTCGGTGTTGGTAGATGGCTCTACTTAGCGCGTAGTTGTAAATAAGTATATATATATATATATGTGTGTAAACTTCTAATTGTAATTTATCTTTTTATTATTTGTATTTTTTAATTTCAATTTTCTTTTACTTCATTAAATATCTAATTCTCTGTAATTTTTATAATTAAAATAAAACATTGAAACACGTTTTTGAGGAATTTTTTAAATATTCATAATCCAGTGTGTATTAAATACTAATAAATGATTTATTAAATATTAATAAATCATTTTTTATATGTTAATAAATCGTTTATTAAATGGTAATAAATATTTGGTTAGCACAAAAAAATAGCTGCTAATAAATGATTTATTAACTGTTAATAAATATTTGTTAAGGACCTATCCTCTAATAAATCATTTATTAAATATTAACAAATCTTTTTAAATACAAAAAAATCCTTCTATCAGTGTAAACATAATATCAGTGTAAGTACCATTCCGAGAAAGAAAAAAATCATTATTTAGTTTTAATTCGAATAATAAAAAATTGCTAAACTTTTTTTGGTTCAATTGACCCCCTTCTTCCCTACTTTATTTTAAAAAAATATCAATCGCACATCTTATCTTTCAACATGGAGTTAATATGATAGTTTCACTTACACATTTCATTGGGAGTATTTTCCTAAATTAAATATTAACTAGACTCACCTTAACTTCATCGATCTTTCCATTACTTGTACCTAATTTAAAATCAATAATCAGTCTATCACGATAGCAACAACGTTATGAAAGAAGTTTAACCAGCAATGAGGGATAGTTCATCAGCTCTAAGGCATGTACATAAATGATTTAACTAGCTAGCCGCTTTAACTAACTAGCTAACATCAAGTCTCGGCCAAGATTTAGCAAAACATTAAGCAACTTATTATTAGATGTATTCATCATCAATTATGAAATCACCCGTTTTGAGGCGAAATATTGAAAATTTATATTCCAAGTATAAAAAGTTGATAATGTTTTATTTGTAAGCTAATAAATATTTATGAATAGAAGTAATCGAATCATTCAAAAATGCAATTTATATTAAAAAAAAAATAAAGAGAAAAATTATTTGAAGAAAATCAATTGATTTAAAATAACATTGCGAGAAAAATTTTGAAATTCCAGAAATTATTTTTTTTTGCGGCATCAACAGACTATGCTTTTGTAATTTTTGTTTGTATCGTGACGTTGATTGATGGTATGAATAACACAATTGTTCATACAAAAAGAAAGAACTAAGTACGTAAAGGTGCACAAGGATAGAAATTTTCAATAAAATTTACCGTTACAATCTTAGTAATCGTGCGACATTGCAAAACCGCTGATTATTTACCATTTTTTAAGTGAAAATTACGAAAAAAGTAATTTATTTCATAATAGACTTGATAAAATTTTGCAAGAGACTCTGATGGTAAAATTCTTTGAAAAAACTGCAAAAATTATTTCAGTAACTAACAAACTGTATAAGGCTGTGCTAGATGCCCCATAATTACCACGATTGTAATGGTAGTTTTTACTGAAAATTTCTATCTGTACATTCTAGTGGATCAAAGAAATGAACTATTTCATTCTTACTTTTGATACTGAAATATTGTTGGTTGCTAGGCAGCTCTAAAAAATGCTCTCCAAATACAAACTTTTAATGTAAATGGGAAGGTCTTCCTCATTACAGTTTTTAATTGTTACCTCAGTAACAAGTTACTGTAAAAAGTTACTGTAATAAAGAAAAAAAAGACCACGGGTTGACATTTATTGAACGTACAGCAAATCTCATCTTATATATTCAGTTTATCATTTTTCGATAAATTCACTTTTTCAAAATTTTCTTAAAGTTTTAAAGAACTTGAAGTAAATTTTCAAATGTTGTTACTCTTTCACGAGGAAACATCTCTTAAATTTCTGCTTGTATTTGATATTAAAATAATTTTTAAAATGTTATTACTTATAAGTATATATACACACCTAATAAAGTAAAGTAAAATTTAGTAGATATTTCAGTCTTTGTAAAGACAAATAAGAGAGAAACAAGTTACATAGTAAGAATATATTACATTACGCGATATATTTTCTGTACGCAATTCAAGAGGAAATTCGTGTACATTACAGTATGCAAAGCAATGCGTCGGTTCACATACTCTGAACTCTAACTTATATAGGTTTTGTATCTTTCGTGAATGTCTCAAAATGTAGTGAAGCAAGAGCAAGTTATCTCTCTATATCTTAAGTCTCTTTTCTTGGATTTTATCAGAGCATTTTCATTGAGATAAGTATACTTTGCTGTTTTCCATCCTGAATATCAATATCCACTCGTATCCTTGAGATTCTATCGAACATTGATTGCACATAACTTCTTTCTTTCTCATTCTAAACCTTTCTCGTTGTCGATATCGAAACACAGTAGTTCCCTGCGGTAGCATAAAGCTAACTTTGCCAATGCGGAAGACTCTCGCAAATCTGCATTCTATTTTACAACAATACAACCAAGTAAGAGATCCCTTGAAACATAAGAGACAAAGCTAAGAAATAAGAGAAAGTAAATAAATATGTTTACTTATCGTTGAATACACATATCTCTATTATATTAAATTTAGTGAATATATTTTAAAGCTTTTATATATCCGCTTTTACTTGAAATCATTTTTTTATGTTTTATAAAAGTCACTACAGTGGTTTTAATGAGCTACTCGTTTTTTGATTTTAAATTTTCGTATTGGAAAAATGAGACAATGTTTGGTAATCATTTGAAAGTGGGACCCATCCTATTTTTGGTAATAAATTATCGGAAAATAGAAATTTTATATTATAATACCAATTATTAAAAACGAAATGTGTCTAAATAGTTCAGCTATTTCTAGATGTAAAAACAAAAAACTTAAAAAAATTCCAAAAATGTAAATTGTTGATTTTTTTATCAATTTTTTTTTTCAATTGCTTCGCAAAAATACATTTAAATATTTTGAGTTGTTTTGTAAAAAATAAACTTTGAAGTGTACGGATTACAGAAGAAATAACAAGCCACGATTTTAAAAATATTTATTCACAAACGAATAGGTTGGGGAGTAACACAGTAAAAACATCCTTTGATATATTTAAGCACTGATTGTACAAAAGTAGAGTAGTTAAATGAAGAAAAAAAAATACCAGTACAAATGAAATCTTCAACACAAATTCACGTCTCTGAGAGCTACAGATAATTGATGTTTTTGCCATGTTAGACATAAAGTTACTAAAATTTTAAAATTTTTCTAAAACTTTTATATCAAGTACGTAATTCCTGCACATGTTATTCTGTGAGCTGACAAGGGATATATAAAGCTATGATAATTCAGACCCATCGTATCTAAAGAGACCGACTTTTATTGAGAATTCGTTGAAAATTGTGCTTCATTTTGAGATAGCTTTAGAAAATATAGTAGTTTAAATACGTCTAATGAGGAGCTTAATAAACCACTAATTACCTACCTATCATTTAGACTTTAAGCTTCCCCGGGAAAAAATGATCAGGACTGATCAGACATGTTCATATCTGATCAGACCTGAAATCCGACCTGATCAGGCCTGTTCAGGTATGATCAGGCCTGAAATTAGGCCTGATCAGACCTGTCCATGTCTGTTCATGCCTGTTTATGTCTGAACCGTTAGATACGCTCAGACCTGATCAAGCCTGTTCATGCCTGCTCATGCCTGTTCATGTCTGAAGCATCAAATACGCTCAGACCTGATCAGATCTGATCAAGCCTGTCCATGCCTGTTCATGTCTGAAGCATTAAATACGCTCAGACCTGAACAGACCTGATCAAGCCTGTTCATGCCTGCTCATGTCTGAAGCATTAAATATGCTTAGACCTGATCAGACCTGTCCATGCCTGTTCATATCTGAATCGTTAAATACGCTCAGACCTGATCAGACCTGTCCATGTCTGATCATGTCTGTTCTAGCCTAATAGAAAAGGATTAAAACTCCATATATCAGCTGACAAGAACGATGATAGCTGTTCATGCATGATTTGC